TCTGAGGAATATTTTTGGAGAATAAATTTTCCATCCTTTATTTTCTTGGGCCACAATACGAGATTTTTGATCTCCAAATATTCTAAAAAAGTGTCTTTCATACGATAGATAAGATTTTCAAAGACAAGAAATCGATATTCACGATATTCCTTGCTCAGAAAATGTCTATATACACTAAAACCCAAAATGATTTTGATTTTTTACCGTGTTGTATGATTTGTTAAATATATACATTCATATATTATACACCAACATTTAATTAAGAACATTATACATTTAAAAAATTAAAAAAAAAGAAAAACGAAAGGTGTGAGAAAATCAAACTATTTCAAATGGGAATAGGTTGCATTGCTGATTTCATTGTCATATGAAGTAGAAAATTTAACATTAATTCAAATTTTGCAATACAATACTAAAACAAACTTAATTATATGTATATACGTATAATCATAGCATAGCATGGTAAATATATATTATAAAAATGTATAACATTACTTAAAATACCTTCTAAGAGTTTGCATAATAAATGCTTTACAAAGAAATCCAAATCCAATCCAAGAAATAAAATATAAATAACATTATAACTAATTATAGAAATATATTTCTGTGTCAATCTAAATTTTCTTACAAGTATAAAATTCAATGATTTTCAATTTTTTTGTAGTTCTAAAAATATATATTAGTATTAACAATATTGGGGACGAGCTGACGGGCTTCAAAGTAATTAGCAATCCATACATAATTATTAACATTCTAAATTTATAGTTTTTAATTTTCTTTTGGACTGGGATCATTTTATGGTGGTAGTGTTAATTTTTTCCTGCTCACATCCATCAGTTTCTTTTTTTTTTGTTTTGGGATGAATTGTGCTTTTAAGCCTCAAAAAATGTCTTATGAATTTGTAGGATACGTTTGTTACAAACAGAAACAAAAAAATACCTTCGTCGCTGTGTTGACGGCCGTGCTAATACAATGGGCGTAGGAGGTGGTGCTGGTGCTGCTAATGCAGTGGCTGTTGCTGGTGCCGCTCCCGTTGGCACAGGTGTTAATGGCGCAGCCCCCACCGCCACAGGGCCACCAATAAATGGCCACGTAGCCACAGGCAATCGATAACCTTTATGTGTATGTTTACGATTGTGTAGTTATAGAAAAATTAAGTATATTATCGTATATGTAGCATATGCAAAATAAAACTAAATTTAAATACTCCTAAATGTATGCTATAAAATACATATTTTAGTTTACAGTAAAAAATACTCGAATCTATATTTCATATTCATTCATTCTTTGAAATAAAACTACATTGTAATGTAAACGTTTTTTAAATAATTTTTCTCAAAACATTTCATTAAACTAAAAAAAGGACCAAAAAATAATAATCGACCAAAAGGAGCAGTTTACAGGGTGATCAAATTTCACTAAGTTATTTGTTGAACATCTACAAAAGGCTACTAATTTTCTGGCTTAGTCAACTCTAAGTATTGCCTGGTCTCGTCAGGTATTTCCGTTTGAACGAATGTCATATTTGTAGCATAACCCTGCACAGTGTGATTTGGCGTACTGTCATGTGTTGTGTTTTTATAGTGACTTGAAGAGAAATGAATTTGTCAAAAAAAGTAATAAACCCGACGAGAATTATCTCGAAAAGAGGGCATCGATGAATTGAAATTATTGTATTAATTATTGAATATTATAGAAATGTCATAAACAGGTTTAAAGAATTCACTGATAATACAACATCATGTCATGTGACATATTGTGACAGAGAGGAATCCAGCATAGAAATTCGATGTTGCTTAAACATATGATCGTAAAAATGTTGCAAATGTTCTAAAAAAGCTCGTGCCGAGAGCTACATCGATTTTTTGAGGACATGCTGAAACCAGCAGAAGTTATTCAAAACAGGTCATGAGACGACTCTTCCATTGGAGTAACGTTAGGCAATCCATTCTGGCCACAATTTGTCCGCAACGATTTCGTTTTAATCTCGCGGTTTAAGAAAAATGTGGTCAGCAATTTCCGTCGCCAGAAGATGCTGTAGAAGCGGTAAAAATTTTTTGAATGGTATATATCCGAATTTTGTTGTTTCATTTGGAAGTGTCTAAATCGGAGTGAAAAAATTGCTTCGAAAATTGGTTCGGACGCATGGAAAACCGTGTATTTTCATGTTGCGAAATACTTTCAAAAAAACAAAAGAAATATTAAGGTCTGTCATCTTTAGGCTACTCTTTTTTAAGAGTGAACACTCTGTGGAGTGGTACTAGGAGAAATTGTCCCAAAGACGCCATTTTCTGGATTTAATATAGATTTGGTGATTGTGTAATAAATGGGTCGAATCGTATACTCGATTGGCTGCTTACAAAAATTACAAGTTTTGAACATTTTGTGGAGAAGGAAGGCTATGGTTTACATATTCTTACTTTGATAAAAATATTATGATGTTGGAAAATTCCTATTGCGGATGAAATACCTGGGTGAGTATATGAATTTTCTTCCTCGTAATATTGTAAAAATGTTGCTCATAGAATTTTAGGTGGGGTTCTCAAAGACGAAAAATCGATATTTTAACATTTGATTGGTCTGTTCCCAATTTTACCCGTTTCTTGTCATTAAAACCCTATGTGTATGTAATTCAATAAGTTCGGTAAGCATTCCTTATTATGTGTAAACTTTTCATATGAAATTCAAAAAAATCCATTTGAAATTTAAAAAATTTCATTTGTAATTGGTATATTTCCATTTGAAATTTGTAGAGTTTCATTTGAAATTCAAAGAAATCCATTTAAAATTCAAAGAAATCCACTTGAAATTTATAACATTTCAATTGTAATTCAAAATATTTCAGTTGTAATTCGTAACAATTCATTTCAAATTGATACATATTCCTTGTGTGTTACCATTAACACTAGAAAGCCGAAGGCGGTCATTTTGACCGCTTTCCAATTTCAAGTACAAAAGCAACTGTACATTTAATGACACTTTTATTTTAAATTTGGTGATTTGTTTATAATAAACGTAATTCTATGAGATACAAAAAGTCACCAAATTTAAAAAAAAAGTGTCATTAAATGCACAGTTGCTTTTTTACTTGAAATTGGAAAGCGGTCAAAATGACTGTCTTCGGCTTTCTAGTGTTAATATTTTTCGAATTTACAATTAAGTGTTATGAAAAACAAATGAAATTTTATGTATTTCAAATCAAATGTTAAGAATTTTAAATGGAATTATTCAAATTTCAAATGGAAATTTATGAATTTCAAATAGAATTTTATGAATTTCAAATGCAATACATGGAATTTCAAATGGAAGTTTATGAATTTCAAATGGAATTCTATGAATTTTAAAAGGTATTCTATGAATTTCGAAAGGTATTCTATTAATTACAAATGAAATTCTCGAATTACAACTGATATGTTATGAATTGCAAATGGAATTCTCGAAATGCAAATTGTATGTTGTGAATTACAAATGGAATTCTCGAATTACATTTGATATATTTTGAATAACATGTGAAAAAGTTTGGAAAAAAGGACCGGGTTTCGAAATTTTTTTGAGTATTTTTTTCATCGAAAATGTATTCTTTTGAGATGTTATTCAAAACATTTCAATTGCAATTCGAAAAATTCTTTTGTAATTCAAAAACTTAATTTGCCATTCATAACATTTCATTTGTAATTCGAGAATGTAATTTGTAATTTACAACATTTCATTTGTAATTTTAAAATATTAATATGAAATTAAAAAAAAAATCCATTTGAAATTTATAGAATTTCATTTATGATTCGTATTTTTCCATTTGAAATCCGTAGATTTTCGTTTGTAATTCAAAGAAATCCATTTGAAATTTAAATAAATTCATAAAATTTCACTTGTAATTCATAAAAGTTCATTTGTATTTCGTAAATATGCATTTCAAAATCATACATATTCTTTGTGGGTTACCAAAAATATGTTTCGAATTTGAAATGAAATGTTATGAATAACAAATGAAATGTTATGTATATCAGATCAAATGTTAAAAATTTCAAATGTATTTATTTGAATTTCAAATGGAATTTTATTCTTCCCAAATGGAATTTTATGAATTTCAAATGCAATCCTTTGAATTTCAAATGAAAGAATTTGAATTTCAAATGGAGTTCTATGAATCTCGTAAGATATTCTATGAATTACAAATTAAAAAATTCGAATTACAACAGATATGTTATGAATTGTAAATTAAATTATCGAATTGCCAATTATATGCTCTCGAATTACATTTCATATATTTTGAATAACATGTGAAAAAAGTGTTATATGTTTTTAGAAATTAATTCGTATCCGATATGACCTCGATTTTGCCTCACAGTATTTTTTATGTCGAAGTTGGGCTCAGTCGAAGCGAATGCCGATTTTATTTATTCGTTTTTTATGTACTCGGCGTATCACCAGTATTCACATATAGTATAGTTATGTATATGTTTGTATAGCTAAATAAATATATATTAAATTGTAAATAATATAATTTAGTTTTTTATACAAAAATAATTTCACCTAAACAAATAAAAATATATAATATGAAATTATAATATAACATACGTTATATTTTATTTAAAAATATAATATAAAATATTTATTCTAGTTGTAGATACTGCTTTGTATGTATATATATATAACTTAAACTAATTGTTGTTGCATTTGTGTTTTTGTAATATATGAAATTATTCAGCGTAAATATTTCATAAACAAAATGTAATATTTTATTATATTTCTAATACATGTATATATTTAAATAATAGGATTTAGAGTTGTTTTTTTAATATTTAAAACTTTGTTTTCATTTTGTTGCAAACTTTCAAAGGATTCAAAATAAAATATGTATAGATAATTGTAATTGAATATTCAACATACACAAACCAATAAAGTTCACAAAAGAGAAAGCCATATAAAAACGAATTCCAACAAAATATTGAAAAAGAAGAAGAAGAAAAAAATACAATGTAGCTAAACTCTAAACTTACCATCGGGCCATTGGACACAAACTGTTGGGTTTTTTTGTTTTTGTTGGTGTCAGGAATTTTGTTCGTTGTCAATCAATGGAATTTCGTTCAATTCGCAGGTAATACCAGTGATGGTTGGTTGGTAGTGGTGGTGGTGGTCGTTGGTGGTTGATATGTGGTGGTAGGAAATAAAATGACATTGATGGTGATCGTTCGCAAAAATATGTATGTAAATCCAGATTGGTTGTAAGTTTTGTGATATATTTTTTGTTCATATCATTTGTCAAAGCCAACATCAGACCATAGCCGAACGATTTTGTTTTTTTTTTTTGAAATTTTATTGGTTTTTTTATTGTTTGGTGGAATATATGTTTGTGATTGGCATTACAGGCACACAGCAGGCGTCAAAAAGCGTTTAACAATATCATCGTCATCAACAATAAAACATTTTGATATGGAATTGACAAAAAAAAGAGATTCGTAAAAGAAGAGAGAAAAAGAAAACGAAACTATTTTAGTTAATTGTTCTAAATATGTATTTATTTTTGTATGAATAAAATATGATGTTTTTTTTACATGGCAATTATTGTTATTTTTCATATGCAAACACAATCATGCGAGTTTAGGCATCATGCGTTGGGGCTTGGAAGAGTGATAACATCAATAGTTTTTTTTTTATTTTTCTCAAATATATCTTCTTGTATATACAGTTAGAAATTCAAAATAGCAAACATTGGATTTCCAAAGGGATATTTATTGTTTGGGCAAGGATATATCACATGTCATGCCAATACAATTATATAAAAATACACAGATGCAATTAAGAAAATATTATTTCAAGAATATTCCTATAACTTTGGATTTAAAAATAAAATTTGAATTTTTTTATTTTAATCATGTAAGATATGTTGTTTTTCATACAATAGAACTTAATTATTTTCGACATATACAATCACATTTATATACATCCTTTATGTGTTTGTTTTTTATAACCAGATATGGGATAGGTAAAAGATGATCCGTAGTAGTTCCGGAACGAACTAGTTCATTGGAACTATTCTCATAAAGGAACGTTAGGAACTAGGCCCAGTTTGCCGACAATCAACAAATCAACACAGAACTATGTGAGCAAAAAAAAAAAAAAATTAACGAGGAGACATATTCAAAGGAACTACATTAGAGTCAGAACTATATGGAGCAAAGGATATATGTTAAAGAACTACACTTTTTACAAATGTTATTCCAAACATTTCAATTGCAATTCGAGAATTTCATTTGTAAGTCGATTCAATTGTTTTCAATTTGCAATTGAAAACATTTCAGTTGTTATTCGAGAATGTAATTGATAATTTTCAACATTTCATTTATAATTTTAAACTTTCCATTTGGAATTCAAAAATTTCCATTTAAAATTTAAAGAAATTCATATGAATAACAAATGAAATGTTATTTATTTCAAATCAAATATTATTAATTTCAAATGTAATTGTAATTCATGTAAATGTAATTTATTGAATTTCAAACGCAATTTTTTTTAATTTCAAATGAAATTTTATGAATTTCAAATGCAATTCTTTGAATTTCAAATGGGAGTATATGCATTTCAAATGGAATTCTATGAATTTCCAAAGGTATTCTATGAATTACAAATGAAATTCTCGAATTACAACTGATAGGTTATGAATTGAAAATGGATTTAACAAATTGCAAATTATATGTTGTGAACTACAAATGGAATACTCGAATTACATTTTCCATTTGAAATTTAAAGGATTGCAGCATTTGAAATTCATTAAAATCCATTTGAAATTCAAAAAATTCCATTTGAAATTCATAACATTTGATTTAAAATACATAACATTTCATTAGTTATTCATGGCATTTAATTTTAAATACGAACAAATTTATCGGTAACACACAAAGAAAATGTATGAATTTGAAATTAATTTTTATGAATTACAATTGAATTAGAGTGAAATGCTATAAATTTCAAATAGTTTTATTTGAATCATATGAAAAGTTTAAAATTACAAATGAAATGTTGTAAATTACCAATTACATTTCCGAATTACAAATGAAATTCTCGAATTGCAATTGAAATGTTTTGAATAACATTTGAAAAAGGTGTAGATTGTCTAAACCTATCATATTGTCTATTTAGTTCTAATGTATTCCTTTTCGGTACAAAAATCAGCATTTCAGCCAGGGTTCTCAAATACAATAAATCGATTTTCGTATGTTTTCTATACCTTTTTTTACTTTTATCCGATCCTTGCTTGGAGAACCTTATGCTAATAAAATTTATTTGCGAGAGTCAGGTGCGGATAGCTAACTTTGTTAACCGGATTTTCAGATTTAAAAGCTAAAAAACTTTATTCCCAAAACAAATGTCGAATGGAAGATAACATTGGATTTATATATCAATTACTTATAATATTTAATTTTCATTCCTAAAAATTACATATTTTGATAACAAATTGTTCAGTTTATCTGTGCAATAATAATATTTCCTTAATTAAATCGTTTCTCTCAACCTTATAATGTTATAATAACTAATTTAATTTTAATTGTAAAGTCATTAACAAATATTTAAAAAAGGATTTTGTCATTGGCCATAAATAAATACATTTATTGGCAGGTATTGTCTTAATAATTATTTAACAGATATAAACGGATATGCCTTGTAGCAGCATTTCAGAACTGGGCAACACACACGCACACACAAATATGCATATCCATATCTGTTTATGGCAAGGATTACACAATACGTATATTTATTTATTTGAACATATTAAGCTTGCCAATGAAATTGGAAATTGTCATGTCAATTCATTTAAATACCTAAGAGCATTTTTGAGTATTTGTAGAAGAAGGGTGGGAGTGAATGGCGATAAAGGAATTACAAAAATTTAATAATTATATATATATATATATATATATATAATGATATATAATTTCAGCTCCATAGAGGAAAGCAAAAATCACTAATACATTTTTGTCACTCAGATATGTTTTAAAACTTCAGAACAAAATAGAAATTAAAAATATATCTATATATATAAAAATGGAGCAAGAAAAATGTATACTAACGCATCAATTGAGTACGGCTGGACCGATTTGACTCAAAATTTCTTTAAGTTGTCGGTAATTATAGTGGGAAGGTTTTTATGAAATAAAATTTTGAGAAAAATCCGCGAAAATCTTGCAAAAATTATTTTAAAGAAACGGCTGGACCGATTTGACTTAAAGTTTCTGTTAGTAGTCTGTAATTGAAGTGGAAAGATTTTAGTGAAAGAACATTTTGAGAAAAATCCGCGAAAATGTTGCAAAATATATTTTGAAAAGATATTAGCATTTTCACACATTTTATATCGATCCTTTATGGTTTCATCTATAGGAGTTTTTTTTTTTGGATATATTTTGGGCGAAAATGGGAAGCGTATATCTTTAAGAAATTGTCAATTAGGGAAAATATTCAAAATATGTTAATTTTCTACAATTAATTGGATTGTCATGGCCTTGAAAAAACTATATGAAAATGAATTGCTGTTCGTTAGTCTGGCTAAAACTAGAGTACGGCTGAACGGATATTTCTTATATTAGTCTTAAAATGTTCGTGGAGCTTCAGAGAAGGTTTAAAAGGTGAGAAAAAATCGAAAACCCAGAAAAATTTGCAAAAAATATTATGAAGCATGTTTGCATTTCCACGAATTTGGTATCGAGGTATTTTGGTAGCACCACATCGTAGTTGTTATTTTGAAATATTTTGGGCGAAAATTAGTAGCTTATCATTCCTTTAAGCCTACATTTGCCAATTATTGAAAATTTTCAAAATATTTAATTTTCAAAAATTTTTTAATTGTATTGACATTGTATTGAAATTTTTTTATGTGAGAATACAAAAAAGAATTGAAAATTTTATAGTCGATTTTACACGCATAGAATGATGCACATGATGTTTTCCATAGAATGCAAGTAAAATTTAAGTTAAAACAAGGATGGAAAATCAACCATTATATGGTGGTTATATGTATAATCGTTTGTCAATATCTTTGAACTTATAAACAGAACACCTCGCACATATCCGATACCAAAAATGTGTATCAGTAAGCTCAATTAGAAACTTATAAAAACATGGACATAAATAGAGAATTTTTCGCAAAAATGTCACCCCCAATATACCGGAATGACATATTACAGCGCTACTACAATGGGAATGAAGATATATTCGTTTTTGTAGGAAGATTAATGGGGGATATCATTATATTGGTGCTACCCGGAAACTTGGACAAATATTTATAATTTTTTGTAAGGAGGTTTTGTATTCAATGATCATCTAAAGTATAAAATGACAGCCTATTTGATTGAAATAAGTGACCAAACTCCCCAAAATACTGAATATTGTAGGTACTGTTAGGTGCAACCCCACAAAGGTGGACTAATATTAATAATTTTTAGTAGGATTCATGCTACCAAATAAAACAACCAACTACAGCTGATTAGGTTGAAAAACGTGCCTAAATCCCCAAATGAGGCTTCTTGAAAGCTTGGGCAAATTTTGCTTCGAACATTTTCTACTCGATGATCGTCCAAAATATAAAATTACAGCCAAATACAGATACTTGGGCCAATATTGATAATTTAAAGTAGCAATATTTTCTGCTCAATAAGTATTAGTTATCTTAAATTAGAAGAATTCTGTTAAAGACCGTGTTTAAGATCTTCAAAGCACCGAATATTGAGGGCTACCATGGGCGGAATCCCTAAACATGGGCCAATATTAATATATTGGGAAAGTCAAACTTATATGTGCATTTTAATTTACTGAATTTAATTTTTTTTCAAAAATGGCAGCAAGACTCTCTCATAAACATCAAGTTGTAGATATTTAGTACTTTAATGCTACTTTATGCGTGCTCTGATAAATACCAAAATATTACAAAGAGCTGTACACTATACATTATGGTGTAGGTTAAAAAAAAACAAATCTAAAATGTCGAACATTATACACCAACAAAATTACTAGGCAAGACAACGTTTGCCGGGCCCGCTAGTTTGATATAAAGTAATTTTTAAAATTGTTTGAGTATATAAAAAAAATCTGAATTCTTAAAAAAATATTTTTGGAAAGTATATGGTATTCCATTTTTTAATATTAATATAAAAATATTTGATACCAAGTAATTTTTAAAATTGTTAGCCTATAAAAAAAATCAGAATTCTTTAAATAAAATATATTTTTGAAAACTATATGGTATTCAAAACGTTTGTTAAATTATACGATTTTAAAAATGCAATTTGTAGAGCTTAAAACAATGTATAAAAAATATTTTCATAATTTAAAAAAAGTTAAAATAAAGACAAATCATAATACACCTAAGTCTGTTTTTACACGGTCTTTTTGTACAGGGTTTTGATATAACACGGTTTGAAAATTGAAAGTTTTTTTTTAAAAAATTGAGTATTTTTAATTTTTTTTTACACGATTTTATTCCATTTAGCACGATTTGAAATTTTATGTACTTAAATTTTTTTTTGTCAAATTTAATTTTTGCGATGTAAGTTCATATCACCAAAAAGTATTTATGAAAGAAAAAAGTCTGAAACCATCGATAGTGTCGATAGTTTGCGAACACTAGCTTAAAGATTTATGTGAATTCCCCTTTAGCGCGTACAAACAATTTTTACTGGTCAAATCAAATGTGAATAGCAATAATTTTGGGGAATTCCCTTTTTACACGGCTTCTTCTGGAACCAATCTACCGTGTAAAAACAGACTTAGGTGTATTGTGTTTAAAAAATCTTCCGAAAATCGTGGAATTTGCATATAACGGTAAAGTATTTTTTTTTTAATTTTTTTATTTAGAAAATAATTTTTCTTTTCAAAAATTATAAAACAAAATTTTTAAAAATTAAAAAAAAAAATTTTATATGTTTGATTTATTTTAATATTTGTTATAATTTTCAAAATTAAAAAAAAATATATTTTGAAGGTATTTCAATTAAAAAAGGCATTAAAAACAACATAATGGTTGTAATTGTTTTGGCTTTCAAATATAAAAAAAAAAATTGTAAAAATTTCCAACTGGTATTTCATTAAAAAAAAACATAAAAATTTGTTATTTTTTTCAAAAGATTTTAACAACATATCGCTTATAAAGAGGTATCCGAAATATCTAAAATTAATTCAGCCCTTTATTTGATTTTCGAGGCTAATGGTGCACAGAAACCTTTATTCGGCATTATGATATATATATATATATAGATTGATTTTATTGTTATAAAGTAACATGAACAAATTGAATTATTTTTTCCCCAATTTTGCAAGGATATGCATGCAATCAATAAAATGCAGAATTTGTAAAATATGTATATTGAGAAATGTAACAAAGGGATATACAGCTTTGAAAAAAAGGGATGTTAAAAAGGCAAAGGAAGTCAGAGCATGGCAGGAGGCAGCACATGGTAGAGCTTTTACAATATAACAATAACTACAAAAATCGCCTTTAGGTATAGTCAAACATTTCTTAATTGGCATTCATGTTCATTTGCAGCAATCAATACCATTTGCATTTACAATTGAAAACAAAACAGAAATAATGCAACAAACACACAGGCATAGAGTATTCACATACGAGAACAGCATAATATATAACAAAAATAAAAAATAGATAATTTTGATTTTAAGTTTGAAAGGATATTTTTAATTTTTGCTCACCTAGAGCTGGAGCCGGTATGGCACCATCTTTTGTCAGCACAACTATTGTAATTGGTTTTCATACATTATTTTAGGAATTTTGTGGTTGTTGTTGTGGTTTTTTGTTGTTCGAAGAATAGGAGAAGGATATAAAAAGAAAACAAAAATAAAGATGATATATATAAGTATAAACTGCAAACAACATTATTACCAAGTGTCTCAGACAAATTGACAAATAAAAATAAAATTAATAAAAATAAATAAAAAAGTTTAATACAAAACAAGAATGTATAAACCATTTAAACTTTCCAATAAAATTTAACAAACCATACTATATCGATTATTACAGCTGTCATTAAACACAACAATAAATAATAGTTACTATTATAAAATAATAATAATTTTTGAAACCAAAATTTAAATGCTTAACAATGGTTTTAGCATGTATAGGAAATTACAAAAACATAAATTACAAAAACATAAAATATCAATTTAAAATATCAAAATAATCCAGGCAAAATTATCCCACAGATGATGATGGTTTTATTTATATTATTCATGTCCAATCATGTTGCATTTTGCATAAAAAAGCTTATGTGATTGATATATAAAATGTAATAAAAAAGTTTATAACAATTTAATAGAAAAAATTAAAAAAAAATGAATAAAAAACTATTATTCGTACGATGGCTGATTAATAAAATTTCGTGATGTCTGCATACTATTTCGATATTTCGAATTTCCCAATATGATCTTTTTTCATGATCATATGTTTTGAGTCCATATTTCTACATTTACATTTAAAAATGTAATTGTTGCAGGATTCGTTCATAGCTCAAAAATACAGCCGTGTTTGCTTCAGAATCTAGGAGTGGAAGTAGGCAAAATTTTCGGGAGTCGAATTCTGAGACGGCAAAAAAAAAACAAGTAAGAAAACCTCCAGGACACTGAGTTGGGCATTTAAAAAATATCAAAAATCGTTCAAATTGGATTTTTAGTATGCTACTCTAAAATATCAAACAATATCCAATTCGGTTGAAAAAACGTGCCTAAAATTCCCAAAAATACAGAATTATATGGAACTTGCATCGAAGCTGGACTCAATAGTTTTTGTTTTTGTTTGGAGGGGAGTTTTTATATCCAATGACAATCTAAAATATTAAATTACACAGGGAGGAAACTTTACAAAATCTAAAAAGTGGACCAATATTGATAAATATCGGTGCGAAAATTTGGTACCCAATGAGAACCTTAATTTATACCAAAATAACAGTCAATTCAATTGAAACCAGTACTCAAAATCCTCAAAATACAAAAAAAAAAAAAACGAATTATAGAGGATTAATGGAGGATCTACGCCGAAAATCGAGTCAATATTAATAATGAGAACCAGAAATAAAAAATTAAAAGCAATTCGGTTGAAATTTGTGTTTAAAATACCGGATTATAGAGGATGCCGGTATATGGAGCCTACACCGATAACCGAGCTTCTCAAAAAATGATCCAAGTTTCATATTTTTGAGGATTTGCAACCCAATGAGAATGCAAAATACCTAATTAAAGCCAATTGATCGGACGGAAAAAACTAGTCTAAAATACTAAATATATTACCTTTACAATAAAATTTAGAGCTATAAAAAACATAGCCTTTTCAATACCAAATATCTTAGGACTAATAATTAATTTAACACGAATATGTCATTTTATTCTGATGAAGAATATGCATACTTTGATATAATGAAAATGGATGTTATGGTAAGGTTGTATGGTAAGGTTGTATTATGGACAAAAGTTGGGGATTCTGAGTCGGATTCTATGACTCTGAGTAAACCAAGGGTTCTTCTGTGGTATATTATCATATTCTTGTTCTCAAGAATCCGATAATTCCGAATTACTCCCACTTCGAGTTGAAAATGCGTCTAAGACCATCAAAATATCTAAAAAATAGTGTGGGTCAAAAATTAAAAACGATTTTTACCGACCAAGAACACAAAATCATCCATTATGTTAAGAAAATGTCTGAAGGACCCTTAAAGTGCGTCTGTTAGAAAGAAGCGGAAGCGGGTCCAAAAAAGGACATATATTGCAAAATATTTTGGAATACATTTTTTAGCCATCACAAAACTGAAATGCCAAACTACAGTCACCACTGTTGGAAAAATATGGTTATAAACTTCAAATTCCTAAAATGGGTCGGTAACAACATATGGATTCTATACCAAAACATGGACCGATATATTCCGTTTTTAATACTAAACATCCTAAGGAGTCTAACAACATAAATATGTAGAAACCAGTGAGCGGAGTGGTGCAGTCGGATGGGGCCGAACCCTTCTCAACTACCACTGAAGTCTAAGTTTCTGTGGTTCTATATTCTGAGCATGGGCAATAATTCTCGATATTTGGACACTTTTTTTTCTAACTCTGGCATATTTTCCAAATGTTTTTTTCCGAGGTGAATATTTTCGCCATAAAATAAAAATGTGGTCATTTAAGGTTTTGGTTGATTTGACAAAAGTCTGGGCCTATTTGGCCCGCTAAATATTGACGGATCTTCATGAAAATAGGCGTGCTTATTCTCTAGCCAAATTCACCTTCGGGTGTAAAATTTAGTAGGGTCATAATAGTGGCCTCTAGAGACCAGAAACAAAACAGACAAAAATAAAGTTGTTTGTCCATTTCATCCCCTGAATATTAAACGATATTTACCAAAATAAATAGGGGTCTTCATTAGCCAGAACCCGTCCTACATGCAAAATTTCATGACGATTGGCCCATAACTGTGGCCTGTATAGTGCATACAAATTATAATGAACAGACGGAAAGACGGACAGACTCCACACATGTCTAGATCGACTCAACTAGCCGAGATATGACGATCGGTATACTTAAAGGTGGGTCTAGGGCCAATATTTCTTGGGGCTGCACAAATCGATAATACCCTGACTACATAGTTGTGTTGCGTATAAAAATGTAAAGCTATCGCTCAGACATTTTGAGCTCTCTTTTCAACGATAGTTCTATACGAGTATTTACAAGGACTGATCAAAAATTACTATTACTGAATAAAGAGTACAGATGTAGAATTAAATTAAATCTATCTCTTAGAAATTTCGAGCTCTATCGCGATTTCAACATTCAGACAGATCGATGCACAAAAAATACAAAAAAAAATGGTCTGATATAAGAGTACTTACGATGTCTGATCAATAAACGTTATTTTAAAATTTCTTGAGTTGCGTCGGATTTTATATATTGAAAAACATTTATCAAAGAAACTGTATTAGGTTTTGTGTAAAAAATGAAATAAACTGTTGCAGGGCATTTGGAATGTCAAGTGGGACATGGTTGGCTTATATATATATATATACATTCATATATATTCGGCTTATTTCCTTTTGATCATTACTTGAAGGCTCTTTTTTGATCAGACCTCGTATTATTTTATGAAATTTTCAGGGAATATTTTCGAAAGACAACTTTAATATATGCTCGCTCTCCACAAAATCCGAGTGTAAAAATTACTGACAAAATTCAAACTCTGTCATTGATAACGAGTATCTTTTTTACACAAAGCATCAATATTTTATTTCTTCGTAATTTATAAAGAACTTTTTCTTCGTTTGCGACAAACTTCTTGCAGTAAAAAGTAATATTTTCTTATTGATTCTAATAAGAAAATATATTGGACTTCCTTTCAAGAGAGAAAAACATTCCATGTTTTTCACAATTTCACAAAAAACAAGTTTTAATCAACTTTGAGACTTTTTTCCTTTTTGGTTTGTTTTAGTTCTTACAAATAATATTATTTTTATTTCATTTTCCGATTGTTGTTGTTGGTACTTACCGTTAGGGACTGTGGTAACTTTTTTAGTTTGAACTCGAGCTGTTGCATTATTGACCTGAACGATATGTACCAGAGGGGGGGAACAGAAAGAACGTTACAATTGTTAAATATATTGAATTGATAAAAAAGTTGAGCAGTATATCATTAAAAGTTTAAATTGTGAAGAAGAAACATAAGAATCTACTTAAAATAATTATGAAAATTTCATTTGCTTATGTTGCTGCTGTTTGGTGGGGGAGTAGAGAAATATATATATATATATATATATATATTTTTTTTTTTCTTTTTTAATATTTTGCGATGTGTTTCTTTATTAACGATTTTTAATTCGAAAATTGTTGAATTGTTTGTAATCAGGTCTATTAATAAGGTCATCGACAAAGCGAAAAGTCAATTCACAATAATGTATTTTGACAGCAAACTTGAGAACCCTGAATGACCTTATTAATAGGCCTTATTTTCCAATGTGTGGTGCATATATTTAGGCGCTGTAAAAAAAAACAAATATATCACGTTGTTTGTGTTACAAAACCAAAATTTAATTTACAATATTTAACGACCAAATTTTAATTAATGCCAATTTTTAATATGCAATTTTTAATAAGTTGTCAAATTGTCAACAATATTTTATTTTAAAAATAAAATGTAAATATTTGGCATTTACCAAAACAATGCAAAAACTAATTATATTTATATTACAAAAATCCCTAGAGCATTTTAAAAATATTTTTAATGAAAAAAATACTTTATGTCACAATCTAAAATGCTTTGAATACGGAAGACGACACTTTTGAACAAAAAACAAAATTATGTAGTTACCATTGCTTCCAGAAATTCCAGTAACAAACAATCCTCTTGCATATTAAACAATAATTAAAACGAAAGAAGCTAAGCATATTTGGTTTTGGTTTGCGGTCCACATTTCACTAACTCCATTGCAGAGAATATTTCTATATCTTCTTATTTTTCTGCTACTTAAAACTACTTGTCTTTGGCATTGACTGTGAGAATACTGATAGAGTTCGCCTTAGAATTGTAACATGGATATTATACGAAGTGTATTATGGTTCGCATAAGCCTTAGATGTTCTTATGCCTTAGTAGTGGTTAAGATGATTTAGCTGGTAATGAAACATCACAGACACACACACATACAAGCACAACAACACACACATTTCCATTAACAACAATGCTACTGGTATTTTGTTCAACGTGCTATATGTCCTATACTTACTACAATATAAAATAGTTGCAGTAAAATAAAATAGTAGTCCTATTTATATAAAAGTCAAATTTTCATAGGAAATATTCTATTGATTGGCTATCTCTTATAAATGAAAAACAGAATAAAAATTATTTGTTTTTTTTTCATCATTCTATGAATTGTTTATTTTTTACATTAAAATATAGGCACAAATTCATATAATCATTGGCAAAACACTATCTTTGTGGAAATTTCATAAATTTTAAAACTTATTTCCTATTTTGTACCTTGCAATCATTTATCGCTCTCTTGCAACCACCAGCTATCACTGTTTGTCATGCTAACGATCAACGTCTCTTCTCTCATTTGGTGGTGGTCTATTTCTTTCGCTCTCTCTCTCTCTCTCTGGCAGGAAACCAGTTTTATGAATTCCGTGCATAAAATGCAGATATTGGAAAAATTACTTTTTTTCTGAAAATTATTCACACAAGAAGTTTTTCTACTAATTAAAGGCCTTCTAGAGGTTTCCTCCGTATGATGACTGCTATGTCATCGATAATTTGTCACATATTGTTTGGTATGCTAGTGATCTATTTCTCCTTCAATTGATGATTGGTTATTTGATTCTTTCATCCGCTCTCTCTCTCTCTCTCTCTGACAGGAAATCAATTTTACGAATTTCGCTCATAAAATGCAAAGGATAATATATGAGTTATTTTTTCTGTTTATGCAAAAAGAAGTTTTTCAACTCATTGAAGGCCCTCCAGAAGTTTTTCTCTGTACGATGACTGTTATACATTTCAGGCCGTGTTGACAAAAACAAACTGTCATCGATAATTTGTTTTTCATATATCGTTTGGTTATTTCTTTCGCTCTCTCTCACACACTCTCTCTGTCAGAAAACGCAATTCATAGCGTTCATAAAATGTAGAAATCGAAAAGTTGACAACCCTTTCTGAGCACTACTCATATAAAATAGATTTTTTTCCTTCCTTTCCTTTTTCTTCCGTACTTCTTCTATGATTTACTTTACTGCATGAACCCGAAACAAAGCAGCAATCGATCGTGTTCACTTTGGAAGACGAGCCGAAACCAACAATACGTGGCTGCCTGTTTCATCTGCAAAACTTGGTGAATATTGCGGTGGAGCAACACAGGAGGTCAATTCTGTGTGCTACACAATAATTTGCTTGCTGGAATTCTTCGGAAAAATTGAAAAACGAACAAGAGAGGAAGAAACTGTTTACACCATCAGCACCTTTTTAACCGACAAAACTGAGGATTTAATGGGTCGTACAGCCATGACGTATGTTTTTATTCCTACACATGAAGAGAGCAATTCGTAGTCAATATTTTTTCGCCAGAAGGTTTTAAGGTGTCCTAAACGGAGTGGAAATAGTGATTCGACAATTGTTTCGGAAATATATTCCATTTTAAATTGACTGTAGCAATTATGAGATTATTTACTGCTCGATTCATATTTCAGCTTTCGATTTTCTGGAGTCCTTCCTTGTCTAGAATACTTTCTCGAGAACATTTTTTTGTATAGAAAACCTTTTAGAGGTAGTTTTTGTATAAAATACTTACTGAAGTCTTCTATAAGTTATAAAATACCTCTACAAGTTCATTTTATTAGTCGACAAATCATTCATCATCCAATTCACCACGATTTGGTAATGTGCTATTTAATTATATCCAACTGTAATCATAATGTATTTCCTAGTTTTGCCATTTGCCATACGAATGTTGTGCTCTCTCTCCCGTCCATTACAACCACATTGTTAATGGCCTCCATTAGGACGACTGGTAAAAACATCGTTACAAAGAAAGTTAATTACCCAACTAGCTAAGTGAAATTTAAGGCCATAATAAAAACTGAAAAACAAAAAAAGAAAGCGAAGAAGACATTATTGTATTTTAGATGTCCTCTAGAGTGCCGAGAGCCTTAGATCAACAATGTAATATATCTTCAACTGGACAGTTGCTGGTTTCTTTTTTTTTGGGGTCTTTAAGTTATTTGCCCTCAGCAAAATAATAGTCTATTGTTTTACGAAATGTGATAAGGCGTAGCTTTCTCTGAACATTGTGTGTTAAATTTTTGGAAAATATAATTTATTTCGAAGGGGTTTGAAGATGACCACACGGTTGTTCTAGAATTGTTTAAATAGTTAAATTAAAACACCTTTTTTATCCTATAAAAACGAAAACGGCTAGGTAAGGTTTTATTTCCATATCATGGAACAACAGACTAATTTCGAAGCATACTCAACAAATTTTTATAGTGATGGGCCATTGAATATTATTAGGTATGTGAGTGAGTGTGCACAGGAAACAATGTCACTTGCAAATCTGGTTTATATGTGGTTTCATCCATTCATTCTAGTGTAAAATTGTAGCAAATCCTTCGGCCAAACACACATATGTTGTAATGTATTTGGGATAAAATTTTAGTTAATTATAAAGGATATATTGCACATTAAAAATGATTACGAATGACTTTGTCTACCTACACATTGTTTTGTTATAGCATCTATAACCCAATAACGTTCCTAGTCATATTATGTGTTAATGGCAATGCAATCCGAATTCTTTTACGGACATGTTGAGGTTATAACAATCTCTAACATAAAATCATAATCCATTAAGTCTACTGAAAGAATAACCTGTACCAATGAAACTGATATACACAGAAAAAAAATATTCATATCATTTTTAGTATATGAATAAAGTTCAGATATTGTTGCATATGTACGGATTTTTGCATTTTATGAACGCAATTCATAAAACAAAAAACATGCTGAGTTCATAACAATCTCTAACATAAAATCATAATCCATTAAATGTACTGGAAGAATAGCCTAGCATTCTGCAGTATATGCATAGGGTTCAGAAATTGTTGTCAATGTTCGGATTTATGCTTTTTATGAACGTAATTCATAAAACAAATAACAAAGAGAGAAAGAGAGAGCGCGAACGCTTCAGCAGCATGTTCTGCCGACAAAAATTGTTGGCCACTCATTGTTTCCAGATATCCGTGAATAAAAAAGAATCTTCGTGGGCCAAGGCTGTATGGCGGATTACCCATCAATCCACCTTTTGCCCGCTCAAAAAGACGCCAGTTTGAATCGATGTGAATGAGGTTGCATTCTTATTGGTCCTTAATAATTCACTTCTCTTGTTCGTTTTTCGAATTACTTCGTAGCAATAAGATGCGGTGTATCACTTTCAATTAACATCCTAGCGTAACTGGCGCCAGTTTATTGGAAGTGCTCCTTCCACGAAATATTTTCGTTGAAATTGGATCGAATTGACTGTTTTTTCGGACGATCATATTTTTTTCTAAAATTTCGTTGAACTAATCGACGTGAGCCTTTTTTGAGCAATATACAAATTGCGCTGGATCCAATGAGCTAACCTGGGTCCAACGAGCTACGGCTCCATCTGACAGTATGACATGACAGTCTTGCATTAACAGTTCACACCCAGTTCAGTTAGCTGATAGTTCCTTTTAGTTCAGCTCTTATGAGTGAACTAATTTTGTTTTCTAGTTTCATCGTTCATTTCAATACGGTATTTCTTTTAATAGTTCATCTCTCTCCCAATATTTCAGAAAAATTATGAACCTATAAGGGTGGATTTTTAAGGAAATGTTTCAAAAAAAAAAAAAAAAAAAAACTATGGACCTAAAGGCGTGTTTCAGCAAAGAAATGTTTCAGAAAAATTTACGGACCTAAAAGGCGTGGATTTTTAAAGAAATGTTTCAGAAAATTTATGGATCTATAAGGCGTGGATTTTTAAAGAAATGTTTCAGAAAAATTTACGGACCTAAAAGGCGTGGATTTTTTAAGAAAG